TAAGTCCACGTATATTATCCAGCTTTAAAAATCACCCCCACCACCCCCAAAACATCATCCCCACAGAGTCTCCCCTTAACAGCTTTGCTGCCTTATAGAGACCACTCGTTTGATTGCATCTCCCTCTAGAAGCCGACATTGTCCTTTTGCTCTCTCTTCCACCGTGACACTCTCCCCGCTCCCACGTGTACCTTAACCCAGTGCAGCCATTAGGGCTCCTCCCCTGTGGGCTCAGGGACCTGAATGTAGAAACCACCCACCTTTCGACACAGGTAACTACTGAATAAGTATGTTTGAAAGGTACCTATGAATGTCCCAAGATTTATAGGGAAAGGCCCGCTCTCACTTCTCCCAGTTCCCTGTGGTCCATCAAGAGGAGCTGAGGGGAGCATGCTACCATAAAATGTGTCTGACTCCTTTATTTTACTCTCTCTCCTATCTCTCTTATCCTTGATGACTTTACTGTAACCTTAATATATTATCAGCATACATTTGCACTTCCTGGTCCTTCGTTTGTTGGAGGCTGGTTTCCATTGACACATAGGTAACATCATGATAAATGGAGAAAAGGTTGAACTCATCAAGGATTTTGTGTTTCTCGGATCCGCAATCAAGGCTCAGGGAAGCAGCGGTCAAGAGATCAAAGGAAACGTTGCATTAGGTAAATCTCCTGCAGGAGACCTCTTTGGAATATTGAAAAGCAAGGATGTTACTTTGAAGACTAAGATCCACCGGACCCCAGGCCATGGTATTTTCAGTCACCTCATACGGATGTGAGAATTGAACACTGAGTAAAGAAGACCATAGGAGATTCGCTGCATTTGAATTGTGGTGCTGGAGAAGAAGATGGAAAGTACCTTGGACAAATCGATCTGCTTTGGAAGAAGTAAGGCCAGAGTGCTCTTTAGAGGCAGGAGGGGCGAGAGTTCGTCTTACAGACGTTGGACAAGTTGTCAGGGAGAACAGTCCCTGGAGAAGGACATCATGTTTGGTAAAGAGGACGTGCAGTGAAAAAGGAAGCCGTCAGTGAGAGGTATTGGCACAGTGGCTGCATCCATGGGCTCAGGCAGAGGGACAGTTGTGAGGATAGTGCAGGACCATGCGGTCTTTCCGTCTGTTGTGCACAGGGTCGCTGTGGGTCAGAAACATCTCGATGGAAACAACCAACAACAACATGTTGCATTTCCTACAAAAACTTTTAATAAAAAGAAAGGGGGAAAAACACTACCAACAAAAAACACAGAACACTCGCAATCCCATGGAACTAAGACAATACTAAAAACAACAACAAATTTAAAGTGAGTCAAAAGGGAAAACAAATGATAAGGCCTCACATTTTAACCTAACTACATCTGCATGAATCCACTTTCCAACGCATGCTGCCTGATAGCAAGGCTTTCCAAATCCCCTTTCAATGGTCAAAGGAGATTCACTAGGGGCTTAAAATTTGGGGACTCTGAAAATAAATTTTGGGATTTCACTGCCATTCATAGCCTTCTGCAAACTGGGTGCTCAGAATTTTAGCTGTCATACAATTCCCTCTCCTGGTCTTGGTTTTTATTATTATTTTTGTTTTTTATTATTTACAATCCTTGGATCACACAGACTTGTGTGCTTCGTCCATGTGCCCTTAGCTGACACTTCCCTTAGAGGCTGCTTGTTTTAAGACAAGCCTTTTAAAACCACAGACACACTTCTTTCTGATAGCCAGGCACCATCTGATGTGCTATAGCACACAAATCTTCAGCAATCTCTTCATGATGGTAAGTATTAAGTAGGGCCTGCTGTGTCTGTCTTTGTCTTGTCTTTTTCTGTTTATGATTGAATAATGTCCTTAAATTATGTTTGACATCTGGGATTTTTTTTATACCCTAAAGCACTAATCAAAGTCTGGAAGTTCACGGTAACTTCACAAATAATGTGATCTGAGTCAGACCCCATTCAAAGGCATTGAACAACAGCAAGAAGCTTACTAGAAGACTACCGAAAGGAGCTCTCCTGCAGGCTAGAGATACTCAGTGGTGCTCAAGAAAAGATCATGGGAAATGTGCACCCGGAGAGAATGAGCTTAGCCAGAGAATCGGAAAACATAGAAAAGAAAAAGGCTTCATTCCCCCTCAGTGGGTAGGGGT